CTATTTACACTATAATACGATACAACGGTAGGTACTAAATAAAAAATTATTGATTTTTACTTATAGTTATAAGCGATATTTTATGACAAAATTAGTTAAACTTACAGTAGGCGTACTTTATTTACCGAACTAAGAAAATAGTAAATACTAATAATTATATAAGTATTTTTTAATATGACATAAAATAAACTTAGAAATAGGTGCTGATCTATCCATTACTTTCATTTAGAACTTTTTTTTTTTTTCGTAAAAGATTGTTTTTTAATTTCAATTTATTATTGAATTATCATAAAATTCAACATAACCAATACATTAAATTTAATGAAAATATACATTTGAAAACAACTCGAAAACTATTTTACAACAGGGCAAGTTCTTCAGTTTTTTTTTTCTAATATAATTATTTATTTTAATAAAAGTACGTGATATAATTTTTATTCTTTATTTTTTAATATAACTTATAAAATTAAAGTTAAAATTAGGGTATTAATATATTTAACTTAGTTAGCCGAAGCTAATAGTTATAAAAATAAATTTGCATCTACTTCAGTTCGATCAATGAGCTTAAACAATTGAGTTAACAGTGTTAACAATGAACTGTACACATAGTACTTTCGTCTTTCTGCAAATTGATCGTGTAAACATTGCAAACACATGAATATGTCAAACACTTATATCCAGATAACCGTTGTATCAACTATCAACATTGATTTGTCACATAATTAAATAAGTAATAAATATTTCTAATTTTTTTTCTTTTTGAATTAATTATGTAATTATTTCATGTTAAAATAATTGAAAATAAGTGGTATTTTTACTTAAATTTAATATAATAGATCTACTTTTAATATACTTATTTATATGAATTATTATTAGTTGATAATATTAGTATATTATTATTGTTATTTATTAATATATAATTTATTTTTATCTTTAACTGTTTATACAAAAATAATTGAAACTATTTAAGTGTACTTAAAAAGATTATTTAAAAAAATATTTGATTAAAAATCTACTAAGAATTATGTCATGAATTATTTTGATCATGATTTTTTTTTAATAAAAAACCAATATACCCTATCATTGTTTTTTTGAGAATTTAATATATCATATTTTAGGAAGATATTATAAAAGGAATTTTCAGAAAAAATACTTAAACCTGAAATTAACAATGTAATAAAATAACTTTACATAACCTTTATGCAATTTACTAAGTTATTTGTTAGCTGTTCAATTTCAGTATACTTTTGAGGACGAAATTTGTCAATTAAAAATTATTTAAATTAATTTGAAATTATATTACATGGAATAAACCAACAATAGTTTGTCACCCAGCAAGTATAATAACAATAATTATTCTAGCTCCTTATTCCCAGTTATAATTATAAAGTAATATGTAATAACAAATGGGATTCAAGAACTAAACAATTTTAAAAGTGGTTCAAACCTCAACATAAATTATTTCACACAATTTAAAAAAACATAAAAATAGAAATATGAAAAAAAATAATATGAAGATTGTTCATAATGCTATTGTCATTATTCTTCACATTCAAAATTATGTTTTTCATATGCTCTATATTTTTAAAAATTATCTCAATCGCTATAGTTATAAATAAGTAAACCAATATATCATATCTATAAAATTCAAGTTTATAGAACCTTAGTTTTCTAAGCATAATTTATTAATATTAAAATCCAACTGATGAACTGATCATAACATTTTTTATACGGAAATTACCATTATAACAATTGTATATTAACATCGTAATTATTAGGTAATTTTTCTACCATCTACAAAAGGTTTATTGTATTTATCCTAATTGTTTCCATAAATATTATATAATTTATCAAGCAACTCATTTAAAAATTTAATAAATAAATATTATTATAACTAGGGATAAAAATATCCAGTTTTAAAAACCATGATTTATACAATTTTATTAAATTATTAATTTTTCGTTTTATTTTTTTAATAAGAGTTTAAAATTAAAAATATGTTAGTAATGTTGGTAAGTTTTCTAAGTGTGTTGTTTAAATATATTTTGAAATATAATCTATTACTAATAAATATATCTTGTCATCTGATCTTAGTACTCAAAGAAGTTATTTAAAATGGATCGTTTCTACTATGCCAAGTAAAACACAGAAATACGTAACTGTTTTATTATTTTTTGATTGGTATTCTTAATAATATCCTTATTAAAAAATGTATTTTATCCTAAATAAATAAGTCTTTATTATTATATCTTAAATATCTCACTATACAACAAGAAGAAAGCAATACCTTCGGATATTTAGACATTTGAAGAATTTTTTTTCAATCCTAAATAAAAACATTTTTCTCACGATTTATTATATATATAAACAGAGTAATCCCTTTAACACGAGCTTTAACATATACTAATTATTTCAGAAATCACTTATATTTTATAAATATATCTATTAGATCATTTTAAATCATAAAAAACAACATTTTTTAAGAGAAAAAACTATATTTTTAATATTTTTTACCATTACACATTTTTAAAGTTTACTTTTTTAGACGACATATTTTTTTAGTAACTATTCGAAATATTTCAAACTATTAAAATCAATTTACGGAAAAATAGTTTATTAGATAAACGTTATAACTTATAAGTATATAAAATTTTGATGAACGCAATAATAAATCATCATTTTGCGATGTACATAAAAAATACTGTACCACTCCACTCCGCACACAATCACATGTTTATAACTTAAATATTTACGAATAACTCATAAATTACTTGTCTAAAATTTTATTTTAATTAACCTAAGTATTTTCAAAAATATTCAGCTTTAAAATAAGAAAATATTAATATACGTTGTCATTAACAATTAAAAAGATAGAAAAACATCTAATAAATGTTTATAAAACAATTTTAAATTTTGTAAAAAATAAGTTAATATTATTTGAAATATTCAGTCTTACATTAAATAGATCACCTGATATGTTTATTAATTATTAGATTTAAATTTAAAAAATATAAATTACTTTTGATAAAGACCTTTTGGCTGTTTTAATAAAAATCTTAAATAAATAATAATAATATTTGCATTGGGTTCTTAAATATTAAATTATATTATTAAAATTAACTCTATAACATGAAATAAAAATTAGTAATTTTAAGTTTCAATACCTACTTTTAGATACAAAATATTTCACTTGGTGCTCTTACATTATTGTTATATTTTTAGAAGAAATATTAAGCATATTATTTAATGATTAGAAAAATATTAAAATTATTATATGTTGTATAGATTATCAAACATTATAAAATAAGTTACCTATCTCAAAAAAAACCCGTTTGTTTGTATCACAAACACTAATTAAACATACATAATTAAGTCACTACTAAATACTAATGAATCCATGAAATTTTTTCAACACTAATTATTCTAGTAATTCATTGTATATTCGAGTAGTCAAAACATTACCATAGGTATAGTAATATTCATTAATACTAAACAGTTCAATATTTTTAAATATTGATATTGCTTGACAAAGTTATTCAATTAAAAATAAATGTCTATTCAGTCATTTGCTCAAGCAGAAAATAATTATAAGTATAGAGTTTAAATATAATCTCTAGTATGTCATTTTATTTATTTTCTTTTAACAATAGAATAATTTTTTGTACAATAAGCATAAATACATACTTATTTTAATTTTTATATGAAGACATGGAAAAAAGAAATATTTATTAGTCATTAGTGACACTTTCATCTATGAAATTTTAATATGATAAGGAGTGGCACTACTATTTTTGAGACAATGAGGAATAGTTCTCAGGCATAGTTTTTGCAATTATCATACAAGCAAGTATTAGTGATTTTGGAATGAGAAGTGGGTAAAATTAAATTTAATAAAGAAAAATAACTATTTTTTTAATTTTAAAAATTGTTTATTTTAATGAGAATTCTTTCAAGATGATAGATAATAAGTTTAAATTTTAAATTATCATGACTATTTAAAGACTAAATAATATCTAAAATAAAATAAAATAAACAATTTATGATATAGATAATATGTAGGTATCTAATAAAAATTTTTAAATCTCTATGAACCTTATAGGTATTTAAAAATAAATATTTGTACTTAAGTGTTTTGTTTTTTTCTATTTATTATTTGTCATCCTTATCTCAATAATATATATTTTTATCTTTATACTTGACTTAGTTTTATTTGGTTCTGGTAAATTAAATACCCATTATAGATGATATGACTAACATTATTTAGGTAAGTTTATGCCATCATTTCATAAGATCATTAAATATTATTAACGTAATTGTTAAAACCATAATTAGTTCAATTCAATACCTAATATATGACTTCTATAGGTAGGAAATAACTAGAAACACTAACAGGTAAATTAATTTATTGAAACATTGTGCTAAGTATCTTGATTCAACAGTGAAAATACTAGTATACACTGCTAAATGATTGATTCCATAATAAATGCCTCTAATATATAACTTTATTTTAAGATAATATAACTTTTTGTCTATACTGTAACATTCAAATATATTTTTATCTAAGTAAATATTAGCTTAAAATTAGGTAGGTATTTGTTTTTATTATAATCTAATAAAACAAATTATGTAATGTAACTTGGTACACAAGTACATCTTTAAAAACAATTTAGATATTTAAAAAATATTATTTTAAATATATGTAATTACCTATAGGTAGTATTGACTAATATGGGTACTTTAAAAACTTCAATTTCAGTTTTTATAACATAAAATTCTTTAACTAAGATTAACTTAATTTAATTAAAAATTCATATTGAAACACACTAGTAAATTTAACAAACACCTACCTATAGGGAAAAGTAAATTGTGTATAAATTTAAAATATTGTGATGAAATACCAATGTCAAATACCTAGGAATTTACTATTTTACAAAACAGTTTTCTTTTACATTTACAATTTGTGTAACTATTGATTAGATTTGTAAATATATTAATCTCACCTTAAGTTTTTGAAACGTATTTGCTGAACCAAAAATGATTCATTATAATCATTAAATGATGTGAATATTCATGTTAGAGATACACAGCTGAGGAATTTTCAATTAACTTTAACACAGATCTAAACAACTTCACTATAAACTTAACAGAAAATAATTTAAAATAGACACTAAAAAATTTGCAATAATAATTATTAAATTTTAAAACAAATTACAAAAATATGAAAGAAATAAAACAATCACACTAACACACTAGCGCGAGACACACGGCCCGACTGCAAATGATAAAAAAAAGAATGAGAAACAAAAACATAACGGGTCGTTCACAGCTGCATTTTCAGTGTCGCCAAATGTGTTATTCAACTCCATAATTGTTGTAGGTACACACTTCACATTCATACCTAATAATAATTATAATATGATTGTATATTATATTCTTATCATACTAAAATAATTACTTATTCTAAAATATGAGACATTTTTATGATCATTTTTGGTTTTTACTATTTGTTTAAGTTGACAATTACATAAATGAATTAAACATTCAAAACTAGACGTGCTTATTGATATGGATACGAGTACAAAACATTATTTTTGTAGTTCTCAATTATAATTTATATTTCAATGTCTCTTCTTAGTTCTCAGTAAACATATCTCCTCGGATAAAATTGTTTGTCTTATAAAGAAATTATCCACACATTCCATATGTAAATCACCAGGACAAAACAATATGAAGATAAATAATAAGCTATGTTGGAAAAAGAAACAAATGCAAGAAAAATAATATATACCTACCTGGCTAGTGGCTACCTAAATCACAATTCACAATGCAAAATAAAATATTTCAAACTTATTTGTACTTCGTTCGGTAATTATCTCATATATTTTTATCAGTTACTTAATGACTAATTTTTAATAACTAATATATATAATTAATAATAATTAATTATCAAACAGCAAAACCAATATTTTTAACCGTACCAATATTGAGTAATTACACTTCTAGTCCTAAGTCCAAAAAATGGGAAGGAAAGGAAAAAATATCTGTGGACGTAATAATATAAGTAAGAATAAAAAATATTTAGGCCCCAATTAATACAAAAATTAAATATGGGACATAATTTACACCGATTCATATAACCAAACGTATAGATAATTGGCGTGCGTCTTACGACTTATACCTTAACGTTATGACGTCACAATATCTTGACACGCTTTTGACAGTTGGCCGCGCACATTGTGTCAGGAAAACGGATTACACGTTTTTTGTCAGGTGGGTGGTAGTTTTGAAGACTTCGTTTCGCGAGAATTTCGTTGCAATGTCCAATACAATATTATTACAATAGGTATACACATAGAGCAACCACCCGCCGACGATTCATAAATCCAAAATGTTATCATGTTTAGTTCACCGGATAGCAAAAATAATATTTTTAAAGTCTTTTAGCTTATTATATTGGGTATTTATTGAATAGTATAGTAGATAAAAATAAATGTATATTTAACAAGATAATTTTTTTAGATTCGTATATCACTATGAAACACAATCACGAAATATATAGCATTATAGCCATATAATATAGATAGGTACTTGATGTATTTATTTGATCAACATATAATTGTAATAACTTGGCAAGTTATCATTTATCAATTATAAAAATTAAAGCAGTAATTGATTTTTTCCGAAATTTTTAAAGAAGTCACCGATTATCATGTGCTAATAAGTTTGAAACAAAATGTAAAATTGGCAATATACCTACCAACTTGCAGGTAATTACAATTCTATTGTCCTATATTGTATAGTGTACCTATAATAAAATACAATATTATAATCAATTATTGCTTTTGTATTTACAAAAAGCTAAAAAAACTATAAAAATGTTTATGGCAATTTATTACAATAATCATTGTATAATTGACTAGCTATATAATCGGACTTCACTAGGGAAAAAATAAACAAATATAAAAAAAGTTAAATTGTTGCGGTAAAATCCAAAAGCGCAAATTAATTTTGTGCTTTTGTACTTTAGTAGTGGGATAAAAGCGTAAAAATAAATATTGTCCCCGTAACAGTATGAGTTTTATTTTAAAACTATTAATTATTAAATTAAATTATTCATTTTAATTAAATATATAGTATTTTTATAATTCAAAAATACATCAACAGTAATCGAATTTAGTTTAAGACGTTGAAGTTTATTATTATTGTATAATATTTTATCGTAACGAATTACACAATGAAAGTTGATAATCATTTAAGATAACTATACAATATTTACATTATACAGTATAAACTTATATCTAACTAATTAAATACACTTTATTTTTATAAAATGTATTTGTGCTTATGGTTTGTTAAAAAGGTATATATTTTATTGCGTTTATGGAATATTTATTTTTACGCTTTTGGTTGCGTTTGGGTCACATTTTTCGCTTATGGGCTACTGCCAATCGTTGTATATCTTGATCTTAGTACACTTTGGTTCACGGGAAAATTGACATCGGTCTAGGTATACCTCGCTTTGTGAACTGATTTGACTAAGAGTTGGGCAATTCGCCCATAGCGGATTGAATACCTATAGAACTTGGTATATTTTTTATAACGTGGTTCAAACTATACTCTTTAAACTTTTTTGATTTCTCTGAGGAACAATCTCTGAAACTTTCATTAAAATTTGTAGAGTAATCTTCTAGCATATTATATACCCTATATAAACGTGCATTCATATATATATTTATAAGAAGAATTTACAAGAATCTCGTAGAATCTATATATTTATATTTATCTATAGATACATGTATTCATAACATAAAATAAAAAAATAAAAATAATGATAATAAAAAGCTTTTTATTTTTAATTAATTAGTTATTACTTATTACCTATTTATATTATTTTAAATTCTAACCATATTGTTTCTATATTTCTGCCAAGAATATATATATTTCATATTGTATATTATTTTGTTATTGAAGATAATATTAATAAGATTATTGTCAAATGTGAAATGCTAATGCATATTAAGATTAGTAATATCGTATGTAGAAGTTGGAACGTCAAAATACTCAGTTCTTCTCGTTACCTTTTTAAATTATAATATGTTATTATGAAAAGTGACTAGATGTTATTTATACAAATCATAAAATATAAGTGATTTTCAAGTTGCAAACATAATTATTGATTGGAAGAAAATGGATATTAACTGAAATAACGAAGAAGTATATAATATATATTATATACAATATGTCAATATACATATACATAATACCTAATTAATAATAAATGACAATGTCAGTTTAAGAATCATTAACAATCAGAGTATAATTAATATTATTAATAATGTATAGTCGTTTATTATAATAATCAGTCAAGTATCTCATTACATAAATGCATGTAGACGTATAATAGTATTGACTATCTATATTATATTTTTATCGATATTTTAATATAATAAGCAGTTCTACGTCTTATTTGTTGAATGCAGGAGGATTTTTTTGATTTCAAAACAAACGTTCAATGTAGTACCTACTTATATATTTTAATTAAATATTCGTGTAACTAGTTTTAATTGAAAACATATATAATATTTAAGGTATTTTGTTTCGTTTTACCATAGTTATCGTAAAACAACTACATTTTGTACTTGTATAATGTCTATTACGATTTCGGGTTTGACCACATTATCGTGACTCGTCACTCACGAGCTACCAACAATCGGCAGTCAACAGTATTATTATTATTATTTGTCCACAACAACGCCAACGCATGTTTTTTAGTTTTTTAGGTCAGCTATAATCCAACTGCCGTGCTATAGCCGCGTATATAATGCTAAAACCGCGGAACATTACATAATCCAAGAATCAAATTTCCAAATATAATAGTATTTATACTCTAATAACGTCTACATAATATTAAAAGACTATAATAACTGCAGTATACTAAGCATAAGTACCTAAAAACTAAACACTAGTGTCTAACAGTGTCTGTATCTGTCGGTAGGTAGGTTGAAAATCGAAATATGTGCCATTGCCATGCTAGTTAGAATTCGTGTGTGTTAGAATAGCGAAATGTTAACGGCCTGTTAATAATATTATAATAATGATTTATGACGCCACCGTGGTTAAACTAAATTTGGCCTGAGGTGCGAAAACTATTATGTTTATATATGTAATGCAGAGGTTCTCAAACTTTTTTTATCACGTACTATGCAATATATCCATATGAGTATTACGTAGGTATTTACATATCACTGAATCAATTACGTTCGGAATATTATTAATGAATATCAACAAAACTATGCAAAATGATAAATCAGTAAAATAATAGGTACTACTATAATTTGTATTTTACTTGTCGTTATTACTTATTTATAAAAAAAATTATATTCATTGTTCCATATTGTTTGGCTATAAAACAACCACCTGGTGCCAGCATATTATTTATAAATATATTTTTTTAATTTACTTCCTTTACCAACATATTTGTAATTTTCTTGTGTTTTTACCGGTGTAAGAACGCGTATCATAGTTTGGGAACCTCTAGTGCAGTGTGTAGAATCAGCGAAAAGAATTGGACAAAATAAAGTAGGAGACACTATAGTACTACCTACAGTCAGTGTGTGTGTTAATAGGAATAAGTTTATATTTATACAATATATAATAATAAAAAAAATAAAAAACGTTTACCAATTTTGTACGATTTCACAGTCGAACAATATAGAGGGAGAATAGATTGACACGTTACATAAAACCATAAAATTATACTTAGTAAATATATCATATAGTTTGCAGCTTCTATATACGTTGTTACTTGTTACGTCCAGATTAGGTATATCGGTATAATAAATGTAATATTTACCTATAACCTATAATCTGTGTAATATACCTACCCTTATAATATAACATATGTAAAAACAATAGTGCTTAATATAGATATGAAAAATTAAAAATTAAAATAATAATACTAAACAAAATATACTATTTTAGTTATTTAAATTATAAATAAATAATATACTAAATAATAAATAGAATAATATCTCAATTCGTGGTAGATATATTATAACCTATATACAATTATGGTGGATTGCAGATACCATACGCATACTATGTACACAATCATTGAACCATACATGTATAATAACCAGTGACCTGCAGTCCAAAACATAAATTTAGATATTTTTTTATTCCCTTCACCGTATATAATAAATATTATCGTCAATGTCAACAATCAGTTATATTCAGTAATGACTGGCCATTATATTGACATAGTCTAATATTCATTAAGATTTAAGGTAATGGCAGCATTGCTTAAATATTTAAAGAATCGTTGCTAAAAATCACTAAAATCGATAGTCAGAATAACTAATATTAATTAGTTAACTGTTTATAGTATATATAGGTAATAAAGGTATTAAAATTTATTTTAGAATAAACAATATATTATCATGAATTATTATAGAAATTTATTGAAGTTATATAACATTTATATATAAATACTCATATTATAAAAATATTTTATTTTGTTTATTTTCACTATAGACAAATTATTTATATAGGCAGTATGAATATGTACACCATATATATGCATGATTTTGGTATAAATGTGAAACCAAAAATGAAATAAAGGTAACTAAAATTATTGCCGAAGTTGATTATTTTGCTTGAGATAAATGCCATAGGGCATAGGTAAGTAAGTAGTTGGTAGAATTTTTTTATTTGTACTTGTGGCTAGGTGTTAAAGCTTTAAAAGTAATTATGCAAAAGTGCTTCAAAAGACATTGGTTCCTCTAGTGGGAGCTATACACATATGTTTACCCTCACTCACAATTATTTTTATAAATATATTAGATTCAAATTATTTTCCTGGGCATGTAATTATAGGCTATAGCACGTATAACTCGTATAAGCATGATGTTTTTGAAATGTACAGATCACTCCTCTATTAAAAAAATTTTTCTAATTAGATTATGTCCTCTAGGTACATGCAGTCTGCTTTCCCTACTACTTAAAAAAAGTTTTAGTATTACAAAGATAAATAAGCTTATAATAAATTTCATCTCGATCTCGATAACACCTCTTTTAGTTAGTTTGATCAATCCGATAATCATTAATATAATGATACAATAATACTGCTTATAGTTGGTATAATACGAATATACAAATTAATTGTCAACTATAATTTCTTTATGAGTTAATATTATTAATACTCTTTATTAAAATAAAACGTTTGGTTAATAATTTATAGGAAAATTTCCATTGCGACCTAATTAGCAAGTAGGTGATTATAAAATAAAATTATTCTCAAGAAGTAGGTACATACTCATTCAAAAATAGGTACATTCGATACTGCAATATTGTAGTAACCATAGAAAGCTAGGTTCAGGCGAATTGGTATTGGTCGACATCTTGTTAAATATTTGAATACTTTTAAAATCTTTATTGAAAAATGTTAAGTACATTATGTTTTAAATACTTAAAACTACTTTTGCTTCATATATTTCATTCCCAAATACTAATCATTTTTAACCATTTAATTCCAATTACAAATAATTTCGTATTTTAAATGTTGTTTCTAAAATATCAATTTATCATAAGATTTAATGAAATAAGTAGATTATGGGAAAATTAATCCTTAATCTGACATTATTAAATTTATTTAAGTATGTACATATGTATAAGTATTAAGTATTTGTAAATAAGTTTAAATAGGTAGTCTATTAGTTTATTTGTGATTAATGTACAAATATTTCAATATTAAATTTATTGAACTAAAACAAATATTTTAAATACCTTTGAAAAAAAATATTCGAATACGTATTTCAAATTCAAGTACAAACGACAAAGCAATGTATTTTGAATACATTTTATAAGTATTTTTAAGTTTTAACAAGATTGCATTGCCGCATTGGGTATATAATATATATTCTTCTGTTAAATAAAATATAACATATTAACATTATACTACGTCTCGTTGGGCTACTGTTTTCATGTAATTCATGAGTGATAAAACACAAAATCTATCAATATTTTGAATCTTTATTCATTACCTTTTTTGTAAAATTTGTCTGTTTGGTTAATGAGCAAATAATAATTAGTTGTATGATCATTTTTTTCAGAATTATTCGTAAATATTGTATTGTAGTGGGATACTATTTTTTTCATAAAGACGTTATGCCGTTATAAATTGCAAAGTGGTATACGCTTCAAGCATCTTTAAAGTCAACCTCTTGCTATGACATTGGAATTGAAAATAGTAACATCAGTTTGAAAAAATTAGATTGATTCACTAATTCGTGAAACAAAGGGATCACTTTATGTCTGTATACAATATTATTTATAGGTAATTATAATTTAGTATTTTGATAAACAATTAACAATTACTTAACAAAAATATCAGAATATAAAAACATTTTCCGTTTAATGTAATGTAATAAATAATAATACTAATAATATACCTAATGGCTAATGCTAATATTGTACGCCAAGGGACATGGACTATGGAGTGATATCGATTGATTGATCATAATTATTAATTTGATTATACTATTATGAATATTGAATTATGATTTATGACAATAACATGATAAGTGGTAACACTTTGTTATCACATCCACGTGACTAGGTTGTCCAATGGCGAACTAAACGCGATATCGCGTGATTCGAGAATCTGATCTTAGTAGCGTTTTTGTTGGCACCGCCGTTTCAAAATATGTTTCAATGTTTTTAAATGATACTTATCAATAACGGTGTTCCTCAAACAACAAATAAAACCAACTGGCAAGTCGAGCAAAAATATGTTATAAAAATACGTTCCTGTAATTTGTGACAAAACCCGATTCATGTTTTATTTTTAGCTTATTTTACCGTACAAAAAAATTTAAAAAAATGTCGTTTCTTATTGGCTTTTTTACTGATCATTCTAATCATCCAATCAACGGTTATAATTCCTGTTTAATGCATCAAAGTCCATAGTAGCAACTAGCAAGTGTATAAGACAGTTAAAGATACTGTTGAATTAAAATATATTTTTATACTTTGGTGTGCCCTCCTCTCCAAGGAGAGATCTCATGGATTCGAGTAATGCAAATGTTTCAGATGACGAAGAATCGTTTTATGGCGTTTTTGTGGAATCAGATGTTGATGACAGCAGTAAGTTTTCAATCATCAATTTTTCATCAGTTTTCATCAATTTTTAAAATTTTTTTTTTTGTTAAAACTATGTTTTTATTTCAATCAATACCAATTGTTTGTTAGGTACTCCTAGAGTGTTCTCTAATTTTCAAGAAACACTTTCTGCAGTCAAATCTAACAAAACTGCCAGATTCAAGCTGTTCAGATCAGCAACTGAAGCTGAACGATTTAGTGTTTTTGGACATGAATTACCTATAAAACAAATTGAAAAAAACATACCTAATGTATCTACTAGTTTCACTTTTAAGTCTTTAAAATCTGAAGACCTGGTTGCTTTCCGTCGTCTAATTGAAGGTGGAGAACTAGATAAGGTGAAACTGGCTGTGAATTCAAATCCAAGGTTTCTTGTTAGCAGTGGTGATACACCATCAATAATTCAAGTAAAATATTTTAAAGTTAAATATATTGAGGTTATATTATTAATAAACTTTTGATAAACACCTTTTTAGCTATATAAAATAATAATTATAATACTTATACTATAAAATCTATTTTCATTTTTAATTATCTATTTTACAAATTCTTAGGTAAGGTTTATGTATTTTTTGGTTTATTCACATTTTAGTTTGTATTTTTCTTATCAAATAATCAAAATTTATGTACTTAAAAATTTTAGGTATTGTAAACTGTTCATTTTTAAGGTAATTAAAATAGAATTGTATATTTTGGAAGTATTTTAGGCATCACTATCTTGACACTTTTTTAAGTTAGTTAATTATACTAATTTTTTTTTAGGAAGGATGTCGATATAATGCTATGCATGTAGCAGCTCGATACAATCAACCAGAAATTGTTCATTTTATAATGGAGTGTGTTACTAGTTCAGAATTTATAAAAAGTTTATATGGTATGGAACAATCATATCTATCACGAAGTGAAATCATTACAGATTTGTACTTAAACACACCTGATAAAGCTGCAAATGATACACCTCTTCACATTGCTTCAAAATTTGGCCATGTGGGTGTAGTAAGAGAGCTAGTTTCATATGATAAGTGTATATTAACATCTCTAAATAAATATGATCAAACTCCTAAAGATGTAAGTTTCATAGATGAATTAAATTTATTTTTCAAAACTAAAGTATCAATTAAAATAATATAGGTTATATGCTCAAGAAACAACAAGGAAATGTATAATGATATATTCAATTTATTAGAGAATGGATATTTTGTACCAATGTGGAAATCTGATGATGATTGTGTACAACCTACAATCGGCAAACCATTTTCTCCTAAGTCTTCAACTATATTTTCACCATTGCATGTAATAATTATAAAATATTTTAACTAACTTACTTTAAACACAATTCATTTTTACTTGTTTTTATTTAGAATGACAATCCTAAATCATTAAATCCGATACTTGAAGTAAGAGCCGTGGCTGGACCAATGAATGAATCACAAGCCCTAAAGTTTTGGAAAGAATGGAAATCTCCAGTGCGAAAAACACTATTATCACCTTCACCAAAAAAGTCTCCATTAAGCCCAAAACAAAATGAGTTTAAGAATAAAAGTATTGAAAAGGCAGGAAGGTAATTTAAATTATTTATAATTTTATTAATTATTATTATTAATCACTTATAAATGAATTATTAATTTTAATAAATTATAGAGATTTAGCTGAAAAAAAGAAAGTTGGCTGGGCTGAATATTGGCCCTTTCTTGATGAAATAGTGGATCTCAAATCAGACAGAGGTTTAAATCTGCTTGAAAAATATTTGAGACAAAGATTTAGTAACAAAGAACAAGATATTCCTGAAAAATCATTTGCATCGGAACAAACTGTTTTGCTAAGCCCTATGGGCGAATTGTGTAAAGCGTTAGAATCAATGAGAATTGGATGTATGCTAAATAGACGAAGTCCTCGACGTTATACTCTTGTATCTTACACTTGTCTTGTAAAATCTTGTAAAGTATGTATAAACTAAAACAGTTTTATAAAAAAAATTAAACTCATAATAAATTTTAAATTTTTAGGTTTTAGCAGAACGTTTATCAAATGTAATAATATCGGAGTATAAAAACGTTTTAGGCATTGAGTCATTAGCTATTCGTTTATGTCATGAAGTAAGGCATTTATTGGTTTTGGAAGATAGTTTTTACTCGGATAATCGTTTTGATTCAAACATTAAAGGAAAAATTCACGGAAGAGTAGCTGAACATCTTTGTCAGTTGTTAATTAATAATTTGGAACTTGTTAGCAATGTTTCTTTAATAGTTACAAAACTTCAGAAGTATTATGCGTGAGTAAATTTAAACTATTATTTAATATTATTTTTCTCAAAAAAACACTATATCTCCAAATATTTATGTCTTACAAACATACAAAATAAAAATAATTTTGTGTTGTAAGTTTTAAAATTAGTGTAAATTGATGTATTATATAGTTAAAAGTTAAGAACATTATGTATTTGGATCTTCAAATTTTTTTAAAAATTTAAATACTGTAACAAAAACAACATATAATTAGATTTATTTCATCTTTAATAGAGATCAATTAACTTTAATATTTAAGCTAATAACAAAAATTTGATTTGTTAAATTCAAAATTAGTATGTTGAATTAATACTTACTGATATAAGTTTTCTCTTAATCATTTTTATTAAAATTTGTGATGTTCTAAGAGTTTGTGAGTGTAGGTATGTTAATTTTAGTCAAAATTTTATCTTGTTTTTAAAATTATTTACAATTCAATATCATTGTTTTTTTAAGAATTAAATTAATTTTTATTTCCTAGTTTTTGATTTTGTATTTTACATTTTGAATATTGATGTTATGTATGCATGTCTTAAATGTGTTAATAGACTTTAATTTAACAAGCAGCGCTGCATTTATACATGCATTTTGTAAATATATCTATCATTACTAGATTACTAGTTATTGTTTAAAATTTAAATTATTGAAAAACTTTTAAATTTATAGTATTGTAAATGAATTTTTAAAATAAAAACCAATGGGTTATTTTAGTATTCTTATGTATTGTATTATTATAGGGGAGGCCAACCCGCTGTTCATGCGATTTATCACATTTTTACAAAATATGTTTATTTTTTTGTATTTGGTCTAAATCTAATATGGTGATTTATAATTTCTATTCAACCTGTGATATTATAATGCATTTCCAAAGTGGCTCACAAGATCATTTGGGTTGGCTACTCCTGCTATGTATGGATATATTTTGTATGTAGGTACAGTTATTATAATAGACCATCATATTTTTAATTAATTAATTAAATTAAGTATAAAATATTGTTAACATTAAAATCATCTAAGTTGCTTGTTAACAATGATATAATAAATAATAATTATGTAAATAATTTCAGCTGCTTAAAATTTAAAAATAATTATTAAATTGTGCTATTATTTAAATTATTTCTTATTAACTTTAGGTATATTTTTAAATTATATTGATTGATTTAATCTTAAATTGATTTCTTTATAAAACTATATTACAGACTTCATGCAATTGGGAGTCGTAGTGAAATAACTGGAGCTTGTTTGGTAACTCAGATACATAAGATTCTTACTGAAAAGTCTTCTAATATACATAGTATGCAATCTGATGATAATGAAGAAAATTGTAAACAATGGTTTTTAACTGCTGTTCCTTGTTTATGTAGTATTGAAGCTAAATCAAGTTTAAAACCAAAACAACTATTTTGTGGTAAGTATGCAAAATATTTAGCTATTAATTCAGACAGATAGTACTTTTAGTTATATTAATTTAACATAAACTGATTGTTTTAATGGTTTTTTATATTGTATACCAATTTGTTAAAAATAGGAATTTTACATAAAAGTATGCTTTTAAAGTTTTTATGAAGATTAATAATTATTTTTTGTGGTAAATTAGATATATAAATTATTGGTACTTGGGAGGTTTTAACTGCTTTTAATAGTGTTGTTAGCATATTTTGGTTATTTGTAGTGAAGTATTCTGTTTTGTACTTTGAGGAGTTTTAAGTCTTAAAGGTTAGAAGATTGTTTGTGGTTATATTAGACTGATCTATTTTAATAATATGCATGTGTGGTCAGATTCAGAGTTTGATATAAATAGTGCTGTATCTCGATAAATTGAGCTGCTTTTTACTCCTATTATATTTTTTAACTTGTTATATCTATTTTGTCCCAGCTGTTATGCTAATATGTTTTGAATTTTGTATTTTTGACTTATTTGAATGATGGTATGCTTAGTGATTTAAACATTTTACTATAACAGTTAGTTACATAAAAAAATAATTTTTTAAATTCATTAAATTAATCATAGACAGGCATGTATTACTATATAAGTAATAGGTTATTTATTAAATTAATTGTTGTCAATTAACATCAATTGTAGTTTAATATTAAAAATATTTATTTATTCTTTTAAATACTTTAAAATTAATTTATCCTATATATAAGTTTTCATATTATATGTTTTTTTTAATTAGATAATGAACCTGTTAAAAGAGCAGTTGAGACTGAAGAATCTAAAAACATGCATGGTAATTATAAATTTTAAGAAATTAAATAAATATTAGTTGTTAAAGAATTTTTTTATTTTTACTGTTAAATTTTTCATTATAGATAATATGGAGAATTCTTTAAGTTCCACTCATGAAAGAAGAGAACCGTTATCAAATGGTATAACATAAATAAAATTATATTTATTTAGTTTTGTTTAATTCTTATTGATTTTAGGTTATGACTCTGATGATGATGTTTTTTCAAGTGCTCCTACGAGTCCATGTAGTGAATATTCTTCATCAGACGAATCTGATGAATCAAATATGTTTCATAACGCTGAACGAAATTTTTCTTATCTATTATTTTCAAAGTAACTATTAATATTTAAGATTTTGATTAAAATATTTAAATTTAGTTTTAATTTTATAAATAATGTAAAATAATGTTTTAATTTTTTTATGGCCTTTTATTTTAAACATCTTTTTTTATCCATTTTGATTTTATATTTGTACATGAACATGACAATCTATTTTTGGGTAGAAGTCTGTAATATCTCTTTTGAGACAGTTCCTCTAGTGTAATCAAGGAGACCTTGGGAGTCTTTCTTCTTGGGTTTTCTCTTATATGGCCTGCCCATTCCAGTATTTTTCTTTTAATCTCATTTGCTATTGCTAGTATATTTTAAAGGTTTCTTAGTTCAATGTTATCTTTTGTTATTTCCTTGTTTGTGGATTAAGGTATGATTCATGTATCCTTCTCTTAGTGTCTTTTTGAAAACCTCCAGTCTTCTGAAGTTCTTCATTGTCATTCTTATATTACTATTAATCTCATCAATATATTTTATATTCTGAGAGTAGCCTAACCTAACCTTATTATACTCTAATTATTGTTTTTACTATAATAATGAATTATTATTTCAAATGTGTAAGTAATTATACCTTGCCCCAATTGGGAAAAAACTAGTTTTGTGTAATAGAAATGAGACTAGTTACTGCCCAGTATTTTATTTTGAGATGATATTATGTATTGTTTAAATTATATTATTGTTAAAATATTGTAATATTATTAATTTTGATTATTTTGATAAGCATTAATGTTCTATAAGTGAAATATTGTATTGAGTATTTTTTTTCAGAGATGTACCAACAGATTATGATTATGAAATATTTGATGCAATTAATGGTGTAAACATAGATTCTAACAAATATCCATGGTTATATAGATGGTTGTATTCAATGAATGACTATAATTGTGTTAACAATCTGTGATAAACAATTAATGTAATGTATTTGTTTTAATGTGGTGATTTATTATTAAAGTAGGCAATATATTTTATTCTTATTGTAATGTATTTATACATTTTTATAATTATGTAAACAACAAACTAACTTTAGTTAGTATTTTATATTGTTATCTATTTTCAATGTTTTGATGTATTTTGAGTTACTCAGTGTTTATTTTTGTAATAATTTATGTAACTGTTTAGTATATATATTTTTAAATTCTAAAGGGTAATTTTTTATGGTGTTGCTCATGAAATTAATTATGCTAAATTTCCTTTTATCAGATAATTGATCGTAAATGTTAGTGAATAATATTATTTGAATCTGCTAATCGCAATATAGAAATATTTTAGACAAATTTCTTTTATTATTCATGAAGTATTTAATAATTCTATATGTTTATTATTTTAAACAAAGATATTTTTATCAATAAATTAATATATTTTTTATTTAATATATATATTAAGTATATATTTATTGATTGTGAATATTGAGGAACTGAAAACAAATATTAAAAGTTATTCAAATAGGTTGTTACTGTAAAACTATTTATAACAATACAATTTTTTTTTTTTAACTGAAATTAATAATTAATAAAATTACACATTTATACATTTTTTTATTTTGTGGTTTTTTTTTATTGATGCATTTATTGGAGTTTTTAGTTATCTTTTTTAAATAATTAGATTTTTTTTGAATGATTTTAGTAAAAAAAAAATTTAATATTATACTTCAAATAATATCATTGACTACCAAATATTATTAAAACCAGGGTAATTTTTTATAGCTTTTTTAATGTGTGGGTCTTATGAAATAAACATACTAAATATATTTTTTTAAACAGTTTTTTCTTTTAATGTATTTTAAGATATTAATGCTAAGAACCGATAACTGTAATACATTTAATAAAAAACTTTATGGTAAAAATGAATGAATATAATTTTTGTTATACTAACCTAAGTTATCTTGTACATTTTAGTCAGCTGCAGAATTTTGTTAATTAATCTATTTAAATTTTGTTAGCTGATTAATAATTTATTAGTATTGTTAACTTATTAAAATTGTAGAGGTATTTTAAATATGATAATTTATTTAAGAATTATAGTTATATATGTAAGGTTATCTATGGTAGTTATTTTTTAATTTTATATTTTATTCAGTAAAAAAAAAATAGCTGAAATGTAATTTACCAAATAATTAATAAATTTAACTTAATTACTAATACTGAATACTGGGTCAGTGGTGTCAGTAAAAACAATTTTTAACATTATTATTTAATATTTGTTTAGATATCCAGTGTAAGTGAATTATGGGGAATTGGGAGACTTCTTATATCATACATTTGTTACCTATGGGTTGAATAGGTTTTACTCTTACTTTTTCAAAGGATTTGTAACAATTTGTTTTTGCTTTATAGCTATGAAGTATTTAAGCGGTGATCACAATTTAGTAGGTTATGAAAGAGTTAAGTCTTTTAAAATGCCTATACAATGAAAACTATCTAATGTAGAATAGCATGGAACCAATTAAAAATATCAGTTTTTTACATAAAACAATTAGTGTACAACATTTATAATTTTTATTTTTTGAGTTAGAGACTAATTATAAACTTAATTTATTACCTACTTACCTTTTATAACTTATTTTAGATTAATTATAGACTTATTTACTTATTTTTTTATAAAACTATTAACAATTTATACAAATCTGTTATATAAGTATGAAGGTTGGGAATTAAATTTAAACGTTTAGCTTTTCCAAAAATCATGTAGAGTTTTTATTTTATCACTGTTGTTGCTATTTTTCCAATATTATATGTAGGTATTTTAACGGACATCACTTAGTATGTACAAGACAAGGAAACTGTTCAGTGTGAGACTGTTGGTCCATAACTGTTTCACAGCTATACATTATAAGTACGAGATAAGTTTATATCACAGATACGATAACCAAAAAATACAAATTACCTAACTAATATACATAGTGCAGTTTTATCTTAATTATCGTTTTACGATGTACCTATGATATTCATATCAACGTTACATGACACGAGTCATATTTTCGGCTTATGCAAGGTTTTTACTTGCATTGGATCTACAAAACCATTCCGTTTAGGAAGGTTTCGTTTTTTTGAGGTTCAACATATATATAAAACTATAGGAACATGCTGGGACCACAGAACAATTCCATGTGGGATAGTTTTCCGTTTTATTCAGGGTCTGCATTACATAGTTTTCACTGCATTAATATCGTATAAATTTACTATTTATGATATGTTAAAGATAATTTTAAAATCTAATAAATTCCTATTTCTAGCATATCTCAAGCAAGCACGGCGCTAGAATTTTTTTCAGGGGGGCAGAGTGGGGCAAATATTGTTTTTACATAGACTAAGGGTTTTTCAACAAATACTGAAGTTATTTAAATAAAATATAAATTTTTTTTATGTACTTTACGTATGAAAATGTTAGATCACAGACCTTCAACATATTAATAATGATGTACAAAAATAATAACTTCTTTATTACATACCTTTGTGAATGAATAATTATGTTTCTTTTACTTATAATTCATAAATATAAATTAAAGTAATAGTGTTTAGTTATGAACAGATGAATTCGTTATACTCAACTTTTAATGCAATGATTTGGGATACTTTTGTTTGTTTATTTTCATCCAATGATTGGTACTCAATAAAGGTAGGTAATAATAAATAAATAAAAGATTTTTTTTTTTATTTTAAAAATTTCAAAACATATTTTATTAAAACTGTAGTAGATTTTTTCCTTATTAGATAATACTAGTAGGTTAATCCACCGTAAAAAGACTGAAGATGTTATTTGTTCAAACTTCATTAATTAAATTATTATAATTTATATTAAATTCAATATATTTAGTAGTGACAAATATATTAAATAAACTAAATATTGATATTTTACACAATATCTGTTTATGCACCAAACACTAAATGATTGAAAATCTTAAAACGTTAAAATAGTTAACAAAAATGTATAAAATTGCATCAATACCAGTAGGAATAATATTTTTTTAAATAAAAATTTGTGATTAAACCTACCTAATATTTAACTAGTAAATAAGTCTTTAGTTCAATACATTTTTAAATTGGTATTTGCATAGTATATTATTATGTATTAAAGAATCTACTTTGTATTTTTTATTGAATTTTAGAGGTTAAAATAGTTCATGGATATATATTAAAACTTAGATACTTAAAGAAATTTTTTCTTTTTATTAATTACCTATTAAGTAACTTCCTACATAATATTAGTGTATTAATTAAACATATTAAAAATAATAAGTAAGCTAAAAATATTTTTACCTGTATACAACAAACATTAAATTAAGTTAATAATATTCTTCGGTTTTTGTGTATAAAATATTAATATTATTAAATCGGTTTTTATAAAAGCAAAAACTTAAAATACATATCTTCGAAAATACGAAAGTATTTACATAATATTACTAATTTTTAAAAAGTATATTTCATAAATTCTCTTATGTAGCTCTTTTAAAAATAATGTTTTATAACTTTATTATATCGTGCATATTTTTTAGTAGTGGGGCTGGCGAAGGGGCTGAATTGTTTTCTGGGGAGCTCCCCTTGCCCCCTTGGCGCCGTGTCTGATCTCAAGCACAGCCTGTATGATTTTTGAGACAACCTAATAAAAAATATGGTTGTATGGAAGTACGTATATTAAATATAGTTAATATTTATATAATGAGTTTACTGTGCTTACTAAGTACCTACTGACCTATCACACTTAATCATAGTAATATATTTTATATAAACAGTGACTGAATGAAATATTAGCAAATAATGGATGCCAGCCACAAGATCGACTTTACGTATGAATACTTATCATATAGTTATAGTTTTCTACAAGAAATCGCTGTCAGTATTAAAGATTTTGGAATTTTCTTAGTCCTAAAATGTGTCGCTGTACATAAAAAAAACCACATAACTATAATACCGAAATATTACTCGAATTAGCTCGAGATCGGAATCTAAAATGTGAAAAATAATTTATTATACAAGCGGTTACGAAATCGGAAATACGTTAATAATACTACAATATAGGTATTCTACAATTCTATTCTAATATATTATCTATAATGTATAATCGAGACCATTTGACACATTTCATATTCTCAACCTGCTTTGACTGGAAGTAAGTTCAACTGTATCCCGCCGTCTTTTATGTCCCTTTGCACCGATGCCGGCCGGGCAATAGTTTTTAAGTAGTAGGTCAAAGCGGCTTTCAGATCCTTGTTCTCCTGTGCGGCTTTTGTTCGTCTAACGTCGAGCTCTTGACATTGCACGTCTGCTCGAGCGTAACGCTTCCAGAATTTTGACATTTTATCGAACTTCTAAAACGTACATTTTTACTATTTATTATATTGTTTTTGTTGCTATTCAGTAATAAAATTAGTGTAGATAGGTTAGCAGATCTACTGATGTATCGTGTATAACTATTTAAACATTATATCTAATATATTCAATGAATTCTATTATTTACATAAGACATTAGTTTCTTTTATAATTTGTGAATTCATAAAATTATTTTAATATCAGTGCTGTATTTTTGCAAAATAACTATATTTTTGTTTAACACTGATTTTGTTATAAGTTTTGCTTTTTTTTTTTTAAACAATCAATATCATTAATTTATTTGAATACCTAAGAAATTATACTGTACAGCAATTTAATATTCTAAGTAAGTACCTATTTAATAAAAACATTTTTTTTTTTTCAAAAACCAAATTTGAATTAGATTTATATATAAGTATTCAGCATTTATAAAAACCATCTTGTTGTAAAATAATTTACAATAGGTACCTATAATATGTACTTAATAAACTAATACTCAAACATTTTGTATCTAATAATTTGTATTCAGTACTATAGGTACTTATGTATGGACTTAGGGTAGACACTTTAGTATTAATATATATACAAATTAATAATATACGTACTTCTTCATGGTTGTCTTCGTCGGGACAGACTATGTTATCATCGTCTACCATTAGTTTGGCACAATTTTCTGCAGTTTTAATTATTCTATCGCCCTTTTTTGTAACACTTGTTAATTTCTTGATGTAACATTAACACAAACATTTTAATTTTTATATGTAAAATTATAATATCGTACCTATAAACTTAATCTTACGTCAATAACGGTTTTGTAAATTTTCGACATAGCTTCAAGTTTATTTTTATATTCGTTTCGATTAACGTTTAGTTGATTTTGTGCCACGAAACAACGTTTTATAAGGTCTTCACGTTCCTGTTTTAATTTGTTTTCTCGTTGCGCATATTGAGCTTCACGTTTGGTACACAGCTGTGTTAGCATTTTAATCTCTTCCTATACATAACATGTTTAATAACTAATAAGTTTGCACGCCATGTCACTATGTTAATAAAGTGCTTACTTAGAACTTATATTTTATCTATTTGACTATCGATAAATGCGAGATATTATTTAATAGTCTATGAATCTAATAAATCTTTTAATATACTTATTTATTTTGTAAGCATTATTTAATTTTGTAATGTGTTTATTTAGTTTTTACTGTTTTTAGTTTAATATATAGTTAAGTACCTAGATGCTTATTTTATAAATTTTTGTATACGGTCTTCCAAAAATTTAATTTTATATCTTAAGCAGCATATTTTTCTGAAAAAATGTGAGTGTATAAAATATATTTCTTAATTGAACGAATATATTATTTTATTTAAAAGTATTTGGAAATGTCAAAATTATTCTATTTTAGAACATAAAACTAAAATTATGCGTTTGTATAAAAAAATATAAATTATCAAATTTATCTTATATAAAAAAAACAGTTGAAGAATAGTTTTTTGACAGAAATAGTTTTATATGTAAAAAAAATACAAAATTTAAATTAAATGCAATATTATTATTTTAAGAATCTCAAAAATTAATTGAGTTTTATAGGTAGGTACGTTAAATGGATTTCCTTGTATTTGTGTATACCTATCTACAAATTAGTTATGGGTGTAATTTAAACCTATTTTTGTAACATTGTTAGTGTATATATTAGGTCTAAAAAATTAAAATAGTATCTAAGTATTAATAAAAAGATAAATATGAGCTGTATTTATTGACATGTCAAAATTGTGTTGTTGTGATAGAAAGGTCATTTTTTATGAATAGTGAATACTATAAATGTAAAAGTGTATAATACTTATTGTGTGTAACAAACGTACAGAATATTCGTGAATTCGTTTGTTGTTCTCTTCGATAGATGTGGTGTTAGCTTCATCTCGCATTTTTAAATAATTGTAATGATTCTTTTTTGACTCAGTTTCATTGCTGTAGTCATCCAGGACTTTTTGAAATTTCTTTATAGTTGTTTGTATCTCTGCGAAACGTATTTTTGTGAATCTATCTTTCTCGAAAAGCATCTAAATTCAATCAACAGATATTCACGGGTGGTCACATTAAAAATGTTATAAGATTTAAGTGATTTAACTTATAGTTAATTTGTTAATTTAAATTAAGTAATTATTAAAAAAAAAAATATTTGTTTATTTTTAAACTAAGAAAAATTATGTGTAGGTGCAGTTAATTCCTCGGGCGTAGCATTTATACATAAGAAAAAAAAAATCAGAATTTAAATGAAATATAAATGTCTTATTATATGGTTATACACAAAAGACTTACTATATATAGGTATACTAACCTCGTTATTTAACTCGGCAATTGAGTCTTCAAAATTGATGTGGATTTGTTGTGTGTCATCATCATTTCGTGCATCGAAAATAATAGACATCAGGTCCAAGCGTTCATCTTCTCTACTAAATACATCTCTCATCCACCTAAAGTTATGTTTCAACTCGTCTAACAACAATCGTTTTTTATGTTCGTAGCGAGCGTGAAGTTCTTCTAATGATTTTTCATGGATACCTATTAAAGTAATATAAATGTGGGTTCATAATAGTGTCATTTAAAAAATAGACTTTATAGATATTAACTTTAGAGACAATTAATATTATCAATAACAAGACAATAGAAACATGGCAGAAAAACTGGATGAATATACTTCTCACAAACGAATTAAGAAATATAAGACTGACCATAAAAATAATGGGTGTATCCCTTTGTTGTAAAAGTAAGAGAAGTAATAACCATCCAATTATTCTACGAGTGTACCTAAGTAGGATGCGCTCGCACTTGAACTACTATTATTTCATCTGCAGTCATCACTCATCACTAAATAATCATATCCAACCGAGAGCCGTATAATCAAAAACTTTGTGACCCAAAATAAACCGAAACATGGAAACTCTTCAATAATTGCAACCAGCACACAGACTTAATGGAAGTTATCTATATAGGTACATTTTTTCATAAAACCTTCAGTCTAAAATTTTACATAATTTTAAATATTGTAATTTTATCTATTTGATTTATAGTAATAACTTAAATTAATTTTTAAAGTAGGCTAATTGGCTAATAGACAAACTATAATAAGAAATACCTATAGTATCATTAAAACTTTAACAAATAATATTATGATAAAAAAAAATAATAGTGCCATACATTTTCTAGATATGACTTAGCAACATATTAATTATTACCTGTATTTTATAAAAAAAATTAGTTTTAATGCAATATGTATGTTTAAAATAATAATAAAATGGTACATTAAAATAAAAAAAATGTTTACAAGTAGTATAATAGTAAGTATAATATTTGTCCTTTCACGGTTAATTCAAACTTTTCACCGTAATATCTTAAAGAGGAAATAGCCTCTACAAAAATCTCCATCTTACCATAAACTTATTACAGGGAAATTACTCAGTAATTGACTATCAATTTGTTGTTCATACAAACATACTTACGTCTTACTGTGTACACACTACAAATAATCACATATGTTGGCTACACAAAAATAATTATCATGTGTAAATTAACATTTTTAAGCTTTTTTATAAAAATTGAAATAATTTTTCAGGTTGTAAAATAACAGAATATGATAATAACATTGAGAAAATAAAACTCAACTAGATGAAACAACAGTTCATTAGTAATTGAATATATTTTTTTAATTTTTAACTTTCAAGTTCAAATTAGTTATGTTTTATTTAAACATTTATATCTTGTTATACTCGTAAAATTGTTTAAAAAAATCTACTAAATTTCAGTTTAATAAAATATACACGGTAAATATTTTTGTGTGAAACACAGTAATATAGAAACACGTTCTAAGACTGTAATCTTCCTGTAATATAGATTCGATTAAATGAACATTTTTGAGCGGTGGATTCCCAGTTGAATATGGTGTAAAAACTAAGCACTAATGTTTAATTCGCTGTAAAGGAAATAAAACAAAACACATACACCTATTACTTAATTTTACACTTCAATGGAATTTTTCATTTTAATTAATTTTTGATTGAACTTTTGTGTTCAGGAAATGAAATATAATTTTTATAATTTTATTATTATATTGTTTAATTTTCATACATTTTTTGATTTGATACAATCCTAGAATAACAATTGATAATGATCATAATATATATTCTACATTTAGATTAAATATGTGGGGCTCATAGCAACTCATGAGGTTAAAAATTAAAACAGAATATATTGTATAAAATTCAAACGGGAAAAGACAACTATACAATTTTGATATTCTACATTCAATCCAAAAATGGTAAAACAAATTTGAAAAAAATAATTTAAATGGAATATAATTTAAAATTTAGATATTTTATTTTATAATGATTATTATGATTTATGGTAATCATAATAAATACCCATTCTATTCGACATGAAATAAAAATAAGTATGAATATAACATAATACAAATTATAATAATATAATTATTGTAACTTACCCAAGAATTGAGATACAATTTCAGCATGTGCTCCGTATTGTTTTAGATTTTGTTCTTCGGCGTCTTCCAAATCTTTCAATAGCATGTCTATATGGTCGTTTTTGCAGTCTAGTAAGATATGGAATCGATTTTCCATCGTCTATTGATATATACACGTAAAAAAAAATAATAAATACCTAGTTAATATTATATATTAAAAATTCATGAATTGCGTTTATAATCAATGAATATCGTAAAATATTTGTTAAAGTCAACAGTCGAAAAAGTTTTAAAACATTTTTTTAAATTTACATTTCAATATTTATAAACTATAATTGAGTTTTTTTAAAAAAAATTTCTGTTCAAACTTTTTTGAATAGAATTGATAGAAAGTACTTAAAAAATTATGCGCAAAGAACATTGTTCACGAAAACGCAAATTGTTGTCATAATTATTAATTAGTTTAAAAAGGGTCAAAACTTAAAAGTATTTGTACTAATTGATCTAATATTTATACAACCAATAGGAGTTCGTATTTTGAAAAAGCTCTATTTTTTTAAGCATAAATATATATTTTAAAGATTCTTAAAATATAAGTTAAAAAAAAAATTAAAATCAAACAACTTCATTTATTATTAATTTTATTTATACGAATAAAAATTAACGATTAGAAATTTGATGTCTGCTGATTGTTATTAACATAACAAAAATATAAGATAAAGTGTTATAAAATTTTGATAGCTAGGTATTGATTTTATTTTTCTGTAATGTTAATAAACAATAATTTAGCGCCTTAAAGCATGTTTGTAGAGGTATACTATGCATATCATTATTTACAATGTTAACGAAGAGAAGTATAATATTAATATCAATAACATTTTCAATAATAAATAAAGTACAAACTCTTACAGATGCAAATTTACATTAATAAAATTATTATGTGTAGATTTTAAGTAGAAGCAGTATGCATAGTCATTTTACAGTATTATTGAAAAAAAAATAGCTTATCAACACATTGTGATCACCTACTGTTTCTTTTGAACACCTCCAATATCTCTTTTGATATTATAAACATTTTATCAAATTTAATCAACAAAAAAATATCATAATATTAAATAGACTTTCTTTCTTCAACCATACGTCCGTACTGGTTTTTTAATTTAATTATACCTTGTACCTATATTATTACTATTTTTTCTTTTTTTGTAAACAACTATTTTATCATATTAAATAATTTTTGAAACTTGAAACTAATTGTATTAACAAAGTTTAAATATATATATATATAATAATAAAATAAACAAATTAATTATTACGAGTATAATGAATAAAAGCAAAATATATTACAGATCTTAGATAATAGATATTTATAACAATTTAACAGTAAAAACATCCTAATTTAAAGATCATTAATAGCATTATTCTATCAACTTGATTGACCATTAAAAAATATACTTACTATTCTTAGAATTGTTCAGATTTTTGGTTCCTATACTTTCTTTAGAGTTCAAACGATATTGAGTTAAAATATGTGGGACTTAGGAAGTCAACAAACTTTTGACCAAATTATGTTTTTGAAAATTTAACTTTCACATCGTACGTTTTAAATTATATTTTCTCTTTTAAGTTGATTAAATTCTTTAGTGAAGTGTTGTTCCATACTATTCGTGTAATTTTTATTTTTAAAAACAAATTTTCTATCGGTAAAAAATTAAGCTTTAAAATAGTGCATACCATCATTTCGTCTTTAAGCTCCTTGCATTTAATTTTCCGCAAATTGTGTCGCCATTGCTGGTTAAGTTTTGCATTATTTAACCGGGTAAACGCTTCTTCTTTTTTCAACTTGTTCTATTACATAAAATATAAATAAATTTAAGTTAAATAAAACAATTTTACACCTGGCTTGAATACCTTTAAATAAGTGGCGATTAATTGTTCTTTCCGTCGTTTAGTTTCTTCCTCTATAGCTGCTCGATGCTGCAAGTATCGCAACTTTTCCTCGTCACTCATTCGAGCCAATTTATTATTTTTCTTATTTTTTTTTGGTGCCATTTTATTATTTTTAAGTCAATTAAGTGAGTAAATAAAATCAACCTTCTGCAGCGTTACGTATAAGGTAATATCTTGCAGAGATAGAGTACCTACCAATAAGTTGTATTATGTAGTGCATATTGCGTAATCGATCAAACACTTTGGCTCTTGTAGCAACGTTATTTTATTTTTGTATACACTAAAACTATAACATATAATACAAAATTGTAGTGTTATAATGGAGAGAAACATTGAATCTATAATTCAAAATCTTAACAATTATAAATCCCGCTATTATGGTATTGATATTTTTATTATTTTTGAATTAAAATTATCTTATGGTTTTTAAATCAAATAAGATATATTATTAATATAGAGATTCTTAAATCAATACCAGAACTAAATTACAGTAAATTAATATGCTAATCATTGTCTGTATACCCTTTATCCATTTAAGAACATTTTTTTTCTGTATAATTACAATTAACTACTTAATGTTTATTGTGTGTATATTTTTTATGCTTATAGTACATATATGATAAAAAGTTTCTACTCTCTATAGTGAAGCTAGTAAAAGAAAATATTGTTATGTATATTCTAAAAAAAATGAATATCTGTAATATATTTTAAACTCTTTTAACAAAATTTTAAATTAACTACTGAATATTTTATGTATTGAGTACTTTCCTTTATAATATTAAAATATATATCATGAATTATGATAATATATTTTTACGTATTGGCTGCACATTATCATAAATTATTATACTTTTTTTGTTTGATTTATGAGGTCTGAAGACACTTTACTGTTAAGTTTCATGGTTTAATCATACGTTTGATTTGTGAAAATGTAGAAAATATTTACTCGCATGGGAAAATTTAGGAAAGCTTATCGTCTAGTGGTGTCTAACTATTTTATAATGGATAGGGTAAAACTAACCACTAAAAAACCCACCCATATAACCATTTAAATATTTTAATAAACATTTAAAAAAGTCTTCCAGTTTTAAATAAAAATTTTGAATAATGTATATAGCATAATTAATTGATCTAATAATATATAAATACTTTTGTTATGACTACCCCACCTACAATTTTTCAAATAAATATATCAGTTGTCTCACTATCATTAATATGAGTAATATTAATATCAAATGTTACTATTTATTTTAATTTACAATAATTATGATATAGTTTTATTAACAGTCTCAATAGTAATGATTAACATATTTTTGTATATTAAAATATTACAGTATTTTTGAGTAACCGTTTATATTGTTTATAGAAATATATTATAAATAATCAAATAAATTACTTCAATAATTTAACATTTTGTATTAACAATCATAAGTCTATTTGAATAGGTAATAACTTTGTAATTAATTCATGCATGATAATATATTGGATTTCTTAAGTTTTTTAATAAATTATGCACTCTTGTACTTATGCTAACATAATAGCTAATACTTTTGCTATATATTTGAAATATTGAATTTTTTAAGTAAATTTGTTTTATTTTATCTATTTACTATTTATCTATTACACGTATGACATCAAAATTCTATGTTTAATCGGAAATAAATTATTTTTAAACTTAATTTAAAAAAAAAAAAATTAAAATTCCACTGACTTAAGTTTTTACTTATAATATATTATATAAATATATAATACGAGTAAATAAGTGTATTATTTATAATTATTTTTATTAATAACTTAAGTAATTCAATTAGTTATAACGATGATGCCTTCTTCTTGGTTTAGATTTAAGTGCTCGTGTATGACGATTATTTGAAGTGTGTTTTAACCGACTTTGTTTAGTAGCATTTTTCGAAACGATTTGTTTGGTGACCTGCAAGTTATTTTGTTGATTAATTGCATCAATCTGTTTGGAAGCGTTATTCTGATTTTCTTTTTCACTACATCCAGTTATTTCAAGTATAAGAGTGGGGTTGATTTTTTTCGATTTCAGTTGACATACATCCATAATTTTAGTTAATTGATCTAAGTATAATTGAATTTGTTCTTGATTTTTAATGTTACCAAAAGTAATAGCCAATTTGATTTCATTACATACTAATTCAGCAAGGTTAAAAACCTTAGAATGATCCTTTATAAATATTGATCTATGTTTCTGAAAAATATTACAGTTATAAATTAGTATGGTTATGATAATATGTTGAACTTATAAAAATGTATAGTTATTTTATTTATTATGACACAGGAAAATAATGTCTGGATATCGAGTACAAGTTTGTTAATAATAAATTATAGTACTGTCTTTAGTAATGTGAACAAAAAATATTCAATTGAAACAAAATAATAAGTAATCTATGAGTTTAAATCGATTTTTTACCTTAATAATATCGCTATTAGCAATGTTTTTGTCATTAATTAACATCATGAATTGTTCCACACCGATAAGAAGATTAGAAGAGTCTTTGAAAAGTATCGAATAAGAACAAATTTGTGCCATTATTTTCCAGCGATAATCTCCGTCATATTTTTCAAATAGATTAATTAAATCTAGAACCGGCTTACTGCCTTTCTCGTATTTTTCTAGAGTAAGCATTAAATCGTTTTCTAACTCATCCTCTCGGTTTTCCACCTGATTTTGAATATTGGTATTTTTTAATTGACTTCCTTTTTCATTCTAGATATAACAATATATTATTTGACTATAAATTTTCAACTATTATTTACAGTATACATTTTATTAAAATTTAATACATTATTGTACGTTGTACAACATTAATATAATATGTTGTATACCTAATACATAATATATGGCATATTATTAAAAGATAGTGCAGTGATTTCATAACATCTGAATCTGGAGAATTCCAACGAAAAGTTTCCGCAAAATATAGTTAGAATTAATGGTTTATCTGCATTGTTTCCCCTTAGAATCGGTACAAATTTTAGGTGAAAATGAATTTTACTTAGCAATTTAATATTTTAGATTTTGAGTGAAGCGAAATATATTATTGGTTTTACAGTGAGGCATTTTTGTTTTTAAATTAAGAGTCTTTTTATGGCAGATAAACGATTCTACCTTAATGGAAAGTCAAATTAGATTATTTTGTTTTTTTTTTTTATGAAAATAAAAATAATAAAAATAAATAATTATTTGAAATTTTCATACAAGAACAAGTTTTTCAAATATTTAGTAAACATTTTAAATTTTAAATTATTGACTTTTTATATTTTTATTCTTTAAATATTGACAAAAATTCAATAAATATTATATAAGTCAATATAAAATTATTTGCAATAATTTTATAGTCGTAATTTTTTCGTTATGAGCATTTGAAGCTCAAATTATTACAAAATCATGAACATTTATGTTTTTATAAAAAATTTAAAATTTTTAAATTTTCAATATCAATAGCTTATGCTTAAATTATTAATTTAAAGTTATTCGTAAGTTATTCTTGTAGTAACTTAAAAATATTGAAAGTACACAACGTGCACAACTTTTTTGTACGCATTTGAAGTTTAATAATTATAATAATATTTAACCAGAAATAATTAAATTTCCTAGAATAATTTTAATTATTTTTATCATTTAAAAATATTAACAACCTTAAGGAGTAAGGACTTACAAGTTTTGACATTACGTACTATTAAGTAGTGTTTCATAAACGGAATGAAATATTCAAAATATTCAAGCTAATTTATGCATTTTATAAAACTTTTATTATACTTCGAACTTATTTACAGATTTTTACACCATTATACCTACGTTGATTAACTTAAAAGTTAATATCAATATTATTGTATAATATATGTTTTTTAGCATAGATTTAAGATATTAATCCAATTACTAAAATATATCATTTTACTAATATTATTATAAAATATCGGTAGGAATAGTGAGTGACATCCCTAATTTTTATATATGTAATAATTTATAATAAAATTTATATTTTACACATCTATTTCAATGACCTAACTACTTAATGATAAGGTTAATTCAAACTTTGAGTATAGAGTTGTAACTAAGTAGATCTACGGTTTTTTAATATTAAAGTTATTAACAACTAATAATTTATTGTTACCATTTCTATGTAAGTATAGACTAACTCTCTGAAGATTTCGATGCTTTTTTGAATTGCTCTAATCACCGTAAAATCGTGAAAAGCCATATTTACTGCTATCGATATAATTTGTTTAATAAGAAAAATGTCATCTTGGGTTAAATATGGCAGAATCATTAGAGATTTTGCACATTTAACAACTAAATGAGGATCTTCCGGTTCTAGGCTTACAATGGCCCTGAGAAATTAAAAAGAATATTTAAAACAATTAAGTAACTACGATTAAATTTGTGTGTATACTTACTTGATTAATTCTGTTATATTGAGAAAGTCTTTTTTAATTTTTTCCAATGCATTTTCATTTCCAGTTCTTTTTTCTCTATTATTATCAAAATAATAATGATAGAGTATTTTGTTAATCATCAAATGCATTCTGTGAAAATTAAAATATGGATTTGGTTCATTTGATAAAATAACTGCTTGCTGTATAGAGTCAAATTCGTCATCAGTTGGGCAAGATATATTGGTATTCAGATATTGTCTTTGAGCAGTCATGGCTATGGAAAGGAAATAATTCCACTGAACATTGTCTGGATCTAATTCACATGCTGTTTTTGCATACTGAACTACATTTTGCAATGATTTACCACCAATATCTATACAAATGGCAGCGTGTAAAGCATTAATTGCAGCTCTTGACTTTGAATCTAAATCGTTAAACTTTGTTATCATTTCAAATAACTGAAACATACAATTTGACGCGATTGCAGCATTATAAAATATAGTTTATTTACATCAAGTAGTACACAAGATACGATGGTGTTACGAATGTTTTCTTTTAGAAAAAAGAAATTTGTGAGACAATGATTTTTAGAAAAAAGTTTAAATATATTACATATAAATTGTCGTTCTTATTTATAATTATAACGAAATGTAGTTATTTAGTTACAATAGATATCTCACATATTATTATAATAATACCTATATCTAATTATACAACGACAATACATGAATTTGAATTTTGATATAAGTATTATTTTTTCTTTATATTTTAACTTTATTTGTATATACTGTAAAACCAGGTCCACTTAATGATAATAAAACTCGAAAGTTGTAACTATAGCAACTAATATTGTGATAGTTAAAGACTGCCCCACGTGAACACATAAGGATATTATAGTTGATGTTACGCCGTTATGTGTGTATTAATATTAAATATGTATATATTATATTATTTATTTGTTTTGTGTATGGGTATAGTTGTTGTATATTATTAAGTATTAAAGTTCTAAAGGTAATTTACATATATTATACAACTGCATACACATAGGTGTAACTACGACTTTGATTTTTTTCCTATGATAATGTTTTTTTTTTTTTTAGAATTATTAATTACTTTAAAATGCCTATTTTTTATAGACAAGTAATTTTTTCTTCTAATCTTCACTATTTACCCAAAAAGTTATGTTTACACTACTAGTCGACACATTAATGTTATAATAGATACATGAATAGGTTATAACTGAAATATTGATTATAGATCAACAAACATATCATTCATCATTATTACTGACTACACATTTGAGAGTTATAAACTAATAATCATTAAAATAATTTAATTTATTTTTTTGGATAACTATAGTCACAAAAAACTTTTAAGTAGAAAATTAATTTTAAGTTCGATAATAATTAAGATAAAATTATGAAACAATAAAATTTGAGCCTTACCACAATCTAACATAAAGTATATTTCAAGCGTGAAATTCAAATGTATATGATAATTTTGATATATGACGATATCGTATTTATTTTGAGCTGATTACATTTATAGAGTGATTATGCAACTTTAATTTTTTTTTTTAATAATAATTAAACATTTTATTAAAATGCGTTTTACTATAGGCGCTATAAAAAAAGTTATAAAAGTTATAAAAAAATTAATTTTTTAACTATTAAATGCTCACTTTTGGCGTGATGCGAACATGATAATAATATGATGTTTTATGTTTTATAATCTTTTAATTTGTTATCGAGCCAATTAAAGAATTTTACATGGTTTTTTTTTTTTTTTATAGCTTTATTTTTGAGTAAAATATATGGAGTGAACAAAGTTGTAATTAGAAAATATTTCTTGAATTATTAAACAGTTGGTATTATGATATTAGGTAGAAAAATTGAAGATAATTTAAGAAAGTTATGTAAAATATTATTTTAAAGTGGATATAATCGATGCATTTTGTTAAAGAATAAATTTCAAGTAGTTTTCAACAAATAATTGTGTATCTTGTCCATATTTTAGAATTATAGATAGAAGAGGTATTCGGATACTATTATTAATGTATTTATTTCTTATATAAACAATTATTATTGTTCAGGTATTCCGAAAATACTTGAATATTTATACTAAAAAAAAAGTATAGGAATAGCAAAGGTATTTTGAGAACGGAAAATATTAATTATATTAACAATCATTACCTAATTATTTTGTTGAATATAATAATGTATTATTAAACTATGTAATACTACATTTCTACATAATAATATACTTATACTTTACAATAAACTTAGTTTTTTTAATTCTTACCTGTTGACATTGCACTTTATTCATAGCGAATAATATATGACACAATGTAGACATAATGATATGTTTTAATCCATCTCTAATAGCCAAATAAGTAGGATCGTTTTTGTTGTCTAATTTATCTAGCCATTCCCAAATATTTAATAACTTATCGTGTGCTTGATCTACTTTATTCATTTTAAATAGTGCACAACTGATTATTAGATTGCTTATGAACCTGAGGAAGAAAATTCATTAATAAATTATATAATTTTATTTTGGTTTTTTTAAATATTATTTTATTGCTTATAATGTAAAACTATATAGTAAAAAGAAGACAAACTGAATACAGCATTGGGAACTCTTTTTCGTTTTATTCAATTTCGGATTAAAATGCGTGGTGTATTGTAATATCAAATTAAAAAATCAACTATAAATAATCACAGTCAAAAAATAATTCTGATTAGAAGTATGAGTGCTTGCTGAAATTTTCCTTCTATTTTAATGGTTGTCGTTTGTCGGGTTTTCTAACCGGTAGTATATTAATTGAGAATATCGAATAATTAACTCAATGAAGTGTACCTTATTGATTAGATGGGACTTTTAAAGCGTTAAGAGAAATTTATCAACTCAAAAGAGTGAATTTAGAAAATAATAATTAAAAAACTATTGTAAAATTAATACCTTTTTATCGAATTTCTAAAATACTTAAATTTTCTATAAAAGAAGAAGTATTACAATAGTTTATAATTTTATTAATTTAAAAACACTGATAAGTGAAATAAAACATTCGAAAATATATTGGCGTATTCTAAAAACTAATGAATTTTACATATATTATCTATTAAAAATAAGATAAATAGAATTTGATGGAATAATTAAGGCTATTTAGTGGATACATATACAATACATAATTCTAAAACAAAAAATATATTTACTTTTCAAATGAAAATCTGACTGAGCAAATATTCGTATTGTACTTGCCATATTTTTTTTCAATTCGATTATCAATTTTTTTTTTCCACACTTCAGGTTCGAAATTCCAAGTAAATGGACAATGTAATGATTTTAATTTTTTTTCCGTTATTTTACCAAATTTTTTATTAGTTACCATAGCTTCTTCTATACCAGTTTTTAAATCATCAATCTCGTTTATTACCTCAATGTCATTTTCAATAACTACGAACTTGTCAGCTTCAGTTTTTTCTGTAGTAAATTCTTTATATTCATTGTAAGGATCAAAAATCGAAAGATATGCAAAATGTTTGTCCGTAACAAATACGTTATCATTACGTGTGTCTAAATCGTTAAAAACGTCCAATTTGGGTAGAAGTTCTTTGATAATTGATTTTGAATTATTTACCTGTAGATAATTTTCATCAGATTTTATCGTCTTATTTTTTTTGTTTCTACAACAGTTTTTAAAAAATAACCAAATCATGTTTAATTTAAATCACTTTAATATACATATATTTTACACATAAAATATACGATTATTATAACAATAAATTATTTTAAACTATAATATTGTTAACGAAAGATTTTATTGAAATTAAATGTTATTTAATTTTTACAATTATATTATAATGAAAATATCACTGTCAAATTGTCAAAATGAATCGTAGAGTTATTAAAACGTAACTTATAAACACAATTAAATATTATCTTTAAGTTTCTACATAATAGGTAGGTATACTAAATAGATAATAGATATAATAAGCTAACAACCTTGTAACATACATCGTGTTTCACTTAGCAAATAAAAATTCTATAATAATATTAAAGTAATATCTAGGTAAAAACTAATAAATTAGGTACTTGTCATAAGTGTTGTATTTTTCAACAAGAATTAATTTTAAAATAAGTAGATTAGGTTAGGTTCAATTTTAACTTAAATTAATAGGTCGTACATAATTAGAGTTTAAATAGGTATCTTAACATTCATAAAATAATTTTCAAGCCTTACTGTATACAAGATTTTTTATTAAATATTTAAATACTTATTGATTAATTTATTTCTAACTAAAATGTATTATTTTACTCATATATATATATATATTACACCAATTCATTTGTTTTGTTTATTTAATTACGTATATATCTATCACGTATACATTATAGATATCATTAAAATATTTTTTCTGCGGAGTACCTATACTTATTTGTATTAACTTTATAAGAAATAGCTATAAAAAGTTACAACACTTACATTAACATTAAAAATATATTTAAATGGACAAAATTCATTTAATATTTATAAGATTAAATTATAATAGGTAGATACTAAAATTGTAAAATTTATACATACAATTATATAATAGGTATCATATATTTTTAACTTTTTTAGATATCCAGTAGCGCCGATTCTATGGTTTAACTGTAGACTGAGAATGTTATAACTCATAGGTAATTATTAAGTGGGTGTTAGTAGACACCTCGGGCTTGACACTAGTAAAAACTAGATTTTAAACTACTATGTGTTAGAAAAGACTCGAAAATGTATTTATAATTAGTAATAAAAAGGGAGTTAATGAATCTTTGGTGGGCTGAGTTAGATATACTGTTGTACATATAAAAATTTGTCATAGGTTTGTCATAATCTCAAAAATAATTTATTTAATAATTTATTGATCAGTTTAACTATTTAAATTCAAACTTTAATCTTGTTTAATTATATCTATGGTCTTATTCAGCTAGACATATTATTTTTGATAGAAAAAATTCATTACTTCAAAATTATTTTTTGGAAAGTATTTTAATTCTTAATGCTCAATAAATTTTAAAGAATAATCTTTTTACCTATATGCTATTTGTAATTATCTATTATTTTATTATTCTATGGTATTATGATGAGTGATGACTCAATTAAAGGTTATTTTTAGTTTTTGACTTTACAAAATTATAAATAGTAAAACTTATTAACAATAATATATTGAGGCCCGGGTCTAACGATTATTACAATAGTTCCAAGATTTCAATGCAAAGTCCATTACTTTTTGGGTGCTCTAGGACAATGTATTCTAATTTTTAAGTACATAATTCGTTTCATGTGATAGATACCTACTTCAAAGGTTATACTTTTATTTCGCATTTTTTTTTTCATTTTTAGACTGTTATTTAGTATTTTTATTTTTTATGTTATATTTTTTATTTTTAATGCAATATGAAGGCGTGGTTTAAGCTTTTAGCTTAAATTTAAAATATTATATTGAGAAATATTATTGTTTTTATTTTTCACTTGTACAAACAAATAACAAGTAAGAACAAAATAACAAGTAAGAACAAAATAACAAATATTAATTGGTTAAATGGAAAGAGGTGGATAATATATATTGCGATTGTATATATTTTCAGTAGATATTGTTTATTTATTGTGCATCTCTAATTTTTGTTTTTGTACTATTGTTATTTGTTAGATTAGTTTAGATGAAGTGTTAAAAATAGGCACCAAAAGTTAAGCGTTAATTGTCATATTTCTTACGTGAATGCGTGTCTATAAACATTTTTAATAATTTTTTATGGCATTACTACATCGAAAGAAAGTTATTTAGGCCGTTAGTGCATTTTTGGTAATTTATTAGAACATTTTTTGTTAGCTTTTAGGATAATTATTAATTACTTAGGTATTATGTAAATCCTGCAAGTCTTAGTTATGATTAACCTAATGAATATACCAAAAACTAAGATAATGTTTCGTGAATTCTGTAATAGTTAATAGTATAATCATAGGCGTAGTTAGTTAGGGGGGCTTGGGGGGTTAGTCTCTCTCCCCCAAAATGCAGACGAAGCCCTCTACGAGTTGATACATGTCTACTCCTAGGAAGGCTACAACCCCCTACTCACCCTTAAAAAAAAAACCCTACGCCTATGAGTATAATATTATACATACTGTAAACAGTGTGTAAACATAAAATAATAATATAATCAAAATAATAATAATAATATGACGTACTTATTCCTAAAATTGGGATGTACGATAATATATTTATTAGTCCGTAACGTTGGTTACACTGTTTCAGAAATTTCAAGATAATAACACAGAATTACTGTATTTACAATAATTAATATCCATTATCATTTATCACACAGACTGTTAGATATAGTGCTAAGGAGTTGACGTTGAAATGTTGAATGGTTCATTTATAATCAGTGATTAATATTATTATTAGTTTTTTAAGTATTGAATCATTAATTCTAATTCATATTTTATACATTATACACAATATATATTAAATTCATTTTTTTCTTGTGTTTATAGTTCATTTTTAGTAAGTAATTTTAATTTTTGATAGGTAATGAAAATGTATTGATTTTATTCAATTAAATTAAAATAACTTTTATACAGTGTACACTTTTTTTTATTTATTTATTATCTATTACAATTTAAATTTGTAAACAATTTTTTGTTGTGTTATAACAGGGCGAGATTAATCTAAAATAATTGGCATGAATTTTCAATGTTTAACCATTGGAATTATTTGATAAATGCTGACAATAATCGTAAGTAAGCTATTATAATTTTTTCTAGGATATATTTATTATTATTATATTTATTATTTAGTTGTTTGATAAATCATAAAATTTAAAGTTCTTGTAAAATAATTTTTGTTTGATGTTTGAAAATTATTTTGGTTTATAAAATAATTTTGTATTTCTTTTATAATATAAAAATTATGAAAGAATAAACTTTTGGCTTTTTAATATACATTTTATATACTTATGGTTTATTTTGGTCTTATATATCTAAACCTATTAGGTACATATTTTTCTGATAGATTAATTAATATCAAATATGAAGTGATTCACTAAGTATGTACAGTGTACACCTCAATTTTTTTCATTTTTTAATGGATTTTTTAAAATTCTAATTTTTAAAATTTTTAAATACCTACACTTAGATTATACTTCAATTTTTTGAGATTTTTTGTACCAGGTACTTTAAAATTGTTATATGGCAATGTAAATTTATTTTTTAAATTAGTACTCTTCTTTTTTACTATAAATTATTTAGTGAGATGTATAATTTAATCTTGATGTTTTCAGTTATTAAAATGTTTATATTAAATGTATTTAAATATATTGGTTTATGAAAATGGCTTTAAAAAAATATCAAATATATGTGTTTATTTTAGGTACTTGAACCATTTTAACAAATTATAAATATTGATTTTAATTAATATAAATCATTAATATTTTCAAATTACCATTTCTTCCAAATCTATTGTCATAGAGCTATCATTATTAGTGCACTAATTTAAATAGTACTTGTTTGATTTTTGATTATGATATGTCAAAATTTTTAATATTTTCATAAAAATTATTTGCTATAAAAAGCAGTCTTCACTTGGAAAATAGTGGAAAATAGTAGTTTGTATTTCCAAAGGACATTATTTAAGTATTACAAAAAATCTTAATAATTTGAAAATATGGTTTTCAAGTAAATTAGGAAAATTAAAAATCAAATTTTGAATAATTAAATTATTGAAGAAGAAAAAGGAAGGGTGCATGGTAAGTGAATCACCCTTTAAATAGTTAATTAACATTAATGGATCACAGTGCAATTCCATTACAATGGAATCATGGAAAATTATTACATTTTAAAATTATATTTACTAATCAATTGGTATCCCAAACTTTCTAATTTTTTTTTTTTTAGAGCTAAAGAAGTAGGTATGTTATTAAATAGTTATTGGTTATTAAATATGCTTCATAAATAATTGGCAGGTGTTAATATACCTGTTGATTTCAGAATTCAAATATATTTTTATCATGTTTTTAATCTATTGATTTTTAAATTTATTGAATAATAAAACTTAAAAGTAAATATAAATTATAAATATGATTAGTATCCATTTATTATTATTTAATTTTTTAATGTTGCCTGTCTCATTTAATAAATATTTTGTCTCTTATCTGATTTTATTGTATGTCGTTAATCGTTATTTATATTTCTACTGATATTTTCCTTTAATATTTTATGGATGTAATTTGTAAATTTACGCCATAGGTAATAATTCATCGTTTTGCAGTTGATCTTGTCCAAGATCTATAAATATGAAATATATAAACCTCTAAGATAGTCTTATCTTACATTTTATGTTTTAATAGTATAGAAATATGAATATTTCAACATGTCATCTGCTCAATAAATTCATGTATTGAATTCATGTCATTGCTTATTTTTTTTTTAAATTTTTATTCCAAGTATATTCTTAATGCACCCAATATTTGTTCAGATATTTTATTGATACAATTTTATTATAACTTCATATTTACTTAGTTGGTAATTCAATGGATATTACTGTAAAGAATAAATTACTAAATACTTGATATAATATTGTAATTGCTATAGCTGATGACTATTAACAAAATACCTATACATTCATAAAGTATTCAACCACTTACTGGAATTATTTTTTTACTTTGTTAGTAGTGTTACCT